ATTATCAGTATTTTGATGTTTTTTTTCTTTATCGATTTATCGTCAAATATCTCTTGAAGTTATCATGTAAATTCTCTTTTAAATATCATCGTTTAATGTTGATTATCGTTTTGGTTTTCATAAAAATTCTCTCCCCTTAAAGATTCAATTTTCCAATATTCATTTTTTATTTTTAATTATAATTTTTTTTATGTAGAAGTGTGAATAAATTTCTATTTAATATTTTTTTTTCCCCTCTAATCTAATGAATAATTTCAATGAAAACAATTGTTTGAATTTACAATTTCTTTTTTCAATTTGGAAAATTCATCATTTCAGGTCCCTCGTTAATTTAATTTCTTTTTTTTTCATTCATTCAACTACATCGTCACTATATATTAATCTCTTCGAGAAGAAATTATTCCTCAAAAATTTGTCCCAAAATTAAAGTGAAATTCACTTTTTTCTTCTGGTAGTTTATCATAATGTTGTTTATCAATAACATTTGTATCACACAAAAAAAAACAAATAATTCCACTTAGATGTTTTTCTTCTTCTTGTTATTGTTTTTAAATATCTTATTGAAAAATACAAATGTATCTCAGGGAATTTATATATTTTTTGCGAAGGGAAATAATAATTTTTTTTTTTGTTACTTAATTTTCATTTTATTTATTTATTTATTATTATTATTTTTTTTTTTTTTTGAAGACCGAGGACGATTTTCCGAAAGTCCGAGGAGCTCCCAGCTTCGGACGTGCTTTGCTCCTGACTGCTGGAGATCAGGGAAGAGGGCTCGCGCTTTTCCAAGGGAATCAATACCAGACACTTTAGGGGGGGGAGGAGGGAAGAGGTTTGCAATTCCATATTATAAGGGTGGGAGGTCGAGAGAAAATAGAGGGAGGTCAGGGCTGTACGATAAATTTCCTCATTGGTGAAAATTCCCACATTTTCCTCTATATATATATATATCTATATAATTTTCATCATCGTCATCAGTGGATATTGTCAACGAAATATTGATTTATTGGAAAATTTTCATTTTTGTCCTCCTTGCAATTATAATTTTTTTGTTGCCATTTTTTTTATTCTATTTTGACCTTTCTAAGATTTATTTATTTATATTTTTATTTATTTACTTATTTTTGTATTTATTTATTAATTTATTTTATTTATTTACTTATTTTTTTATTTATTTATTAATTTATTTTATTTATTTATTATATTAGTTTACAAAAATACCCAAAACCTAATTTTTATTTCACTCTTATTACATTTAACGATAAAAAGAAAAATAATTCTAGGTTATGTTTATGATCGTTTGGAGTAAAAATAAGAACAAATTTTCTATACAAATATTTAAGTCTCTATTATACTTTCTCAAAAACTAATTTTGTTTTTAGATAAGTAAAAAAGGAACTTTTAATTGCAATAAGGTGAAATTATCATAAACATAACCTATAATTTTTGTCTTAGATCACTTTTTTCTAAGCGCGTCATACATATTAAAATATATTACAATTAAATTATAAAATTATTATTATTATTATTATTATTATTATTTTTATTGAATTATTATTAACATATTAAAATTTTTCTATTTTATTGTTAAATTTTTATTGGCCAATTGGCACACAAGGTAATGTAATTCAAAATTTTGTATACAGGGATGGGTTGTGAAAATTATTAAATCCAACCTCCCAAATGTTGCATTTTACATACGCAACATTTGGGACATTGCATTTAATAATTTGATAACCCATCCCTGTATACAAAATTTTGAGTTTCATCACCCTGGGGGAATAGTTTATTTAGATACTTCTACAATAACTTTTTGTAATTAAATTGACTTGTTGTCAACAAGAACAAAATTCATGGAGCATTTACACCTTTGGTAAAAAAAACTTTTTATTTTGCATTTTCCGAAATATTCAAACCTGATTGGTTATTCACAATCTGATTGATAATGGACAACCAATCAGATTTGTGTATTTCAGAAAATGCAAAATAAAAAAATTTTTTTACCAAAGGTGTAAATACTCCATCAGTGTTAAAAATATGATTTTGATAGTGGATTTTATTCACGTCGATGAAAAAAAAAATTATTGTAGAAGCACCTTTATAACATCGAAACTATTGTTCGTTGGCCTTAAAAGTATATTTCAACTTCAAAAGGTTGATTTCCATTGTCCCCACTTATGCAATTTGTCATAATTGTTGTCAATTACCGCACCCTGCTCTAGTAAAAATTTAGTAACTTTTAATTTTAACAATAAAGTCACTAAATTTTCACTAGAGCAGAGTGCGGTAGTTGACGAGAATTATGACACAAATGACGAGTGGGAACAATGGAAACTAACCCAAAACCAAGGTATTGTAAATGTAACCTAAATTCATTTTTGCTTGATGAAAAAAAGAGCTGAACAGAGCAATTAGCAATCGATTTACAATCGAAAATCGATAATTTAAAAAGAAATTCGTTTTTCAAAATAGGAAAAATTCTATTTTTAGATTAAATCGAAAAAAATTGGTGGATCACACATCAAACAGATGTGAAATTAGGTTAGTTTTTGTTATATTTAAGCATGGATTTTTAGATTATAAATAATAATAATAATAATAAAATAATAATAATAATAATTTATATACGATGATATAAAAGACCAGCAAATTTTTATATCTTGTGAAATGAAAAGCTCCGTGAAAGTAAAAAAAAAAAGAAAAAAAAAATAGATGTATGATGCTCGGGATTACACCCGACGGCATAAAAGAGTTTACGACTCTTTTTGATTTCGCGGATACGACTATAAACCTTTCCTTTAAAGTCGACAGACTCAGTTTCTATAACTATATAACCATCGACAGTTGTGTGTCACTATATATATGTAGAAATCTCTTCAAAGCTGCGCCATTAATGCAGTCTGAAATATATATAGCAATTTATACCAACATATTACATGTGGTATTAACATTTTTTTTTTTACCTGTCATTCATCGTAAATCTCATTTTTTAAGTATGTACTTAACAAATTTTTGTTTTATCTTTTGGTAATTTACCAACACTAATGAAAAATAGAAACACAAATAGTAAAAAAGAAAATCTTACCATAATGTAAGTTACAGTTTTATTTGATCGTTATATCTGATGCTTTTCAGGGATGGGTAGGTAAAATTATATTAGGGTACGTTTACAATTCTGTGTTTGAGGTTGGTTTCCATTGTCCCCACTCGCCATTTGTCATAATTTTCGTCAGCTACCGCACCCTGCACTTGTAAAAATTTAATAACTTTAAATTTTAACAATAAAGTCACTAAATTTTTACAAGTGCAGGGTGCGGTAGTTGACGAGTAGGGACAATGGAAACCAAACTCAAACACATAATTGTAAACGTACCCTAATATGCATGAATTCTGCCTACCCATCCCTGCAATGGCAAGTGGATACAATGGAAACCAACCAAAATTGACTAGAGTTGATTTTCAATTTTTTACCCAGGGATGGGTATATAGAATTTGGTACATATTAGGGTACGTTTACAATTCTGTTTTTTTGCAAATCACGTTTGAGGGTCAGCTTATATGTTTACATATAAAATCTATAGAGAGGGTAGCAAGCAGGGTTGGGCAGGTATTCTTCAAAAATTCCACTATAATTCGGCCACGGTTGGGAATGTTTGTAGAGTGCAAAAGGAGAGGTTCCTCTAAAACGTATAATTCCAGGGATGGGTACTTATGAAATTAAGAAACAATAAGGGAAAGTCCCCGAAAAAAATAAATATTTTATATACCCATATGAAAAAAAGCAAAGGCTAATTACTAAATAATAAAATAATTAATAAAAGATTAAATAATATATTAATTTTTACATTTAATTACGATTTGATTTTCTAAAATTTTTTTTTTTTAAATTAATTTATTATATTTACTTTCATATTTATTACATATAATTATTTTTATTATTATAATATAATAATAATAATAACTTTTATAATAATAATTATTATTATGATTATTAATATTATTATTATTATTATTATAAAAAAAATTAGAAATTAGAAAAAAAATCAATTTCTTATTAGATTCAAGGGAATCGAATTGCCTCATTATGAGGAAGTGTCGATTGACCTACTTAGTTTAAACGGAAGTAAAAGATCGATGCCATATTGCAAAAAAAAAAAATAAAATAAAAACACTTTGACTGATTGTATTGCTATATATAAAAGTTTATTACAAATTTAAAGAACTTTCTTTCCAATTTCTGCTATTATTTCAGTTTCGATACTTCAATTCAATCTATTTTTTTCCCATTTTACTTTTAATTTAAATCAATTATTCACTTTCTCTTTTTTCCGTCGTTTTATTTTTAATTTCAAAAAAAATTTATTTCCAGAAATAAAAATTATTTTTTTTTTTTGTTAATTAACTTTTTTTTCAAAAGTAAAATAATAATAATAATAATAATAATAATAAATGGAAAAAAATAAAATAGATATCTTGAAACCCAAAAAAAAACAGAAGAATATTTGCACTTTTATTAAGAAAATGCTCACGAGAATTTCTGAAAACTTGAAAAGAAAAATTTCCCACGGGATTATTTCATTTTTAATGAAAATAAATATTTAAATATTACCAACGAGAGTGTTACATTTCCATATGATAATGGTATATATATATTTGGATTGAAAATTTAAAACAAAAATAGTGACATCGAAAATATTTCAACTATTTAAATATTTTTAATATTCAAAAAAATTATTTTTTTATTTTTAGTTAATTTTAAAATTCTTTCGAATTGAAAAAAATTACTCTTTCAAAAGTAGAAAAAGTTTTTAAAAACGTATGAAAAAATTGTAGTGAAGAAAAAGAGTTTTTTAAAATTTTTAAAAAATAAAAACTAAACTAAATCGAAAGGAAACTATTGGGAATATTGTGTTGTATATATATAGAGTGTGGGATATAGAAGTGAATTGAAAGAGCTGAAATTGGAACGATAAGGTCAAATGGCACTTGGTTTTGCTCACCTCTGAAGACGTCAAGTAGCAAAGCCTCGAGTCGGTGCTTTCTAAAGAAGCTTGTTGCACAATTCCATACCTTCCTTCTCGATCTGACATATAATCCGATCGGATACTGTCTTGTCGATCAAAAGTGCTTCTGCGAAAATAAAAAAATAAAATAACCCCCCCACCCAATAAAAGCAATTTAGAAAATTTTTCATCTTTCTTCTTTTTTTAGGGTTTCGTGGCCCAGAGGCGAAAGCCTTATAGTTTTACTTCGGCGTTCATTCGTCCGTCCGTCTTACAAATTGGAAGTCAACTGTACGACTTCCGAAATGTGACAGTGTCACATTTAGGATCCTCCACCAATATATAGTTATAGTTTCGCTTTGACGTCCGTCCGTCTGTCGTAAAAATCGGAATTCAACTGTACGGCTTCTGAAATGTGACAGTGTCACATTTCGGATCCTCCACCAATATATAGTTATAGTTTCGCTTTGGCGTCCGTCCGTCCGTCTGTCGTAAAAATCGGAATTTAACTGTACAACTTCTGAAATGTGACAGTGTCATATTTCGGATCCTCCACCCATGTATTAACGTTTTAGCATCTATTTGTTTGTTCGATGTAAAAACCCTCCTACAGAACGAAAGTCAACTGCACGACATCCAAAATGTGACACTGTCACATTTCGGATCATCCACCCATATTTTGATCTGAATTTAAAAAGCCACGAAACCCTAGATGTAGGTGCTTTCCTAATTTTTTTTATTAAATAATTAATTAAATTTTAAATCTAAAAAACAATTGTGTTGTATATTTATAATTTAATTAAATAATTTAATAATTTAATTATTGAATTTTGTTTACAAAATTTAAAAAACCTCAAAAAGTAAAAAAAAACAACCGAAAAGTGGATAAAAAATATTTTAAAAAGTAAATAAATATTTTCTAAATAAATAACAATTTTTTTTGGAAATAAGAGAAAAATCTTTTTTTTTTTTTAGTATTTCTAATTTATATAAAGAAATTGTAAAATAAAAAAATTGTACCTTTGCTCAAGAGAATCAGTTCGATTTGATTTGTAGCCACTATCGTTGAGGCTTCCTTCGTGTCGAAGTGAGGGAAGTGAATCCCAAGGGGATTCCCTTTTGTGTACAGTGTAACTAGGATTCATTGAACTGGAAGCAGTTGAGCCAAGAGTTGAACTTGCAGACTGCCAACCATCCGAATGTCGAAACCATTGGGCGCGAGCTGATTCTCCAATACAAGTTGCGCATCTAAAAAAAAAACAAAAAAAAAAAATAGAAAACAAATTTCTATTTGAAAAAAAATTAAAAATTCTAAAATACAAAAAAGGGAGAAAAATTTAGTAGTTTATCCATATAGGAGATGAGAAAATACACCCAGAGAAATGTTTTATTTCAATCAAATATAATTATATTTGAGTTAAATAAATGTATATTTGTCTCATAGCCTACTAGCCTATTTATTTGGCGTAATTAAAATTTTTTTTATTTAAATCAAATAAAAATTTATTTAAATCAAATAAAAATTTATTTGAATCAAATAAAATTTTTTTTGAATCAAATAAATATTTGGCTGTGAGACATATATATCATTTCTCTTTGTGTAAATAATGCTGGCAAAAATTGGAATAAATAATTAAAATCAAATTTTCGAAATAAAATAAATAGGAAATAAATATTTTTTTAATTGGAAATTTATTTAGGCAATATTACCTGGAATTATAATCACTGAGATAGCCTCGATCTCGATCGATGTCGCGATCTCTTTTCTCTCTGACAATTTCATTTCTATCGCTGTAATATCCATCGCGATCTTTACTGTTTTGCCTCTCAGTGCAATAACGATAGGACAGAGGCAATGTTGACGATTTATTTGAATTTGGTCCTGAAAATAAAATTTTTTTTTAAATTTCCTTCCTAGGGGCCTAAAAAATTGAATAGAAATTTCAATTCTTTTCCCAGGGGTTAAGAAAATAAAAATATAAATGACTTACGTCGTCTGGTAACATGTGGTGTGCGTTGCACATTCAGCGGAATATTTTCTGCAAATTCTGAAAATTAAAACATAATTCTTTGTCAACTACCGCACCCTGCTCTTAGTAAAAATTTAGTGACATTCTAGTTAAAAAGTTACTATATATAAGGGTTAGTTTCTTTTGTCCCTACTCGCCATTTGTCATAATTCTTAATTGTCAACTACCGCACCCTGCTCTAATGAAAAAAGGATTTTATTGTTAAAATTAAGTTACTAAATTTTCACTAGAGCAGGGTGCGGTAGTTGACGAGAATTTATTTTTTTGTTTGCAGTATTACTTGGATAATATTATTAAAGGATTTTTATTATTCAGAAAACTTCATTTAAAGAATTTTTATTATTCAGTTAACTTCATTTAAAGAATTTTTATTATTTATGATAACTTTTCTACTGATACATATATATATTCTTTTTGGAAACTTACTATAAATTCATTGAAATTAAGGTAATTATTTTCCAATGAATCGCCAGTTTGTTTCCAATGATTTCGTATCGAAAGGGTTATCGTTTCAAAGGATTTTTATTATTCAGAAAACTTCATTTAAAGGGATTCTTATTATTCAGATAACTTCTCTATTGATACGCCACGAACTAATAAAATTATTATAGAAGTGTTACAATTTTTCGAACTGCCGTCAAATATCTATAATAATTTTATTAGTTCATGACTAATGGCGTAACCAATCGGTTGATTTCCATTGTCCCCACTCTCCATTTGTCATAATTCTTGGTCAACTACCGCACCCTGCTCTAGTAAAAATTTAGTAACTTTATAGTAATTTTTAATTTCAACAATAAAGTCACTAAATTTTCACTGGAGCAGGGTGCGGTAGTTGACGAGAATTATGACAAATGGCAAGGATGGGTAGATAGAATTTGTGTATATTAGGGTACGTTTACAATCCTGTCTGTGAGTGAAAAGTTGGTTTCCATTATCCCTACTCGCCATTTGTCATAATTCTTAATTGTCAACTACCGCACCCTGCTCTAATAAAAAAGGAATTTTATTGTTAAAATTAAGTTACTAAATTTTCACTAGAGCAGGGCGCGGTAGTTGACGAGAATTTATTTTTTTGTTACAGTATTACTTGGATAATATTATTAAAGAATTCTTATTATTCAGAAAACTTCATTTAAAGAATTTTTATTATTCAGATAACTTCTCTATTGATACGCCACGAACTAATAAAATTATTATAGAAGTGTTACAATTTTTCGAACTGCCGTCAAATATCTATAATAATTTTATTAGTTCATGACTAATGGTGTAACCAATCGGTTGGTTTCCATTGTCCTCACTTGCCATTTGTCATAATTCTTGGTCAACTACCGCACCCTGCTCTAGTAAAAATTTAGTAACTTTGTAGTAATTTTTTATTTCAACAATAAAGTCACTAAATTTTCACTGGAGCAGGGTGCGGTAGTTGACGAGAATTATGACAAATGGCAAGGATGGGTAGATAGAATTTGTGCATATTAGGGTACGTTCACAATCCTGTCGGTGAGCACCCTGCTCTAGTAAAAATTTAGTAAATTTATTGTAATTTTTAATTTCAACAATAAAGTCACTAAATTTTCACTGGAGCAGGGTGCGGTAGTTGACGAGAATTATGACAAATGACAAGGATGGGTAGGTAGAATTTGTGTATATTAGGGTACGTTTACAATTATGTATTTAAGGTTGGTTTCCATTGTCCCTACTCGCCATTTATCATAATTCTTGTCAACTACAGCACCCTGCTCTAGTAAAAATTTAGGAACTATTGTTAAAATTAAAAGTTACTAAATTTTCACTAGAGCAGGGTGGGGAATTTAAAAAAACAAAAAACTCACCGAGATTTTCCATACTTTGCGACAATAAAGCCTCAAATGTATGAAGACTAATACTCTCAGCGTCCATTCCTTTGGCAAGTGTATTTCTCAAATGCATCTCATATTCAAGTAGAAGTCGATTCGTTGCTGGACTACCCGGCGTTGATACCGATTGTATATTTTGTTGATGATATTGGCCATTATTACATTTACGTGAATTACAATGATTCGTTTGTTCCATATCTGAATTGCCATTCGATGAACTTGGCGTTGTTGCATAACATTGATTGTCAAATATAACATTGTCCGATGGTGGAGACACGTCACCTGTGCACCGATTAGGTTCCAAATCTAAGTACATCCGGCTTCTTCCATCTAAGATGATGAAAAAAAAAAACAGGCTACGTGCAACTTTTTTAATGGAATGTGTGCGATGATAATGGTTATAGTGATTTGACCAACACGTGTGCTCATACTTTTATTTAAAAAATTAAAATGAGGTTAGAAATTTAAAAAAATTTAGCATTTTTTGATAAAGAATTTCTAAAATAGAGGAAGAACTAAACTAATTTTTGTTTTAAGAAAACTATTTCCTAAAAATACAAATTTTTTTTTAGTGATAGGGAGAACTGTTTTTGTATTTACATGACTGCGTTCGAACGCTACGTTTTACGTTCGAACTCCGTTATGTGAACACAAGTGCAAAATGCATATCTCAAATCTAGTATTATAGTTCATGCTTATTCTCTTTTCTTCATACAGTCTTGTCGCGGTTGGAAAAAAAAAATTTTTTTAGTCGGAGAACTTCATTAAAAAAAAACTTCAATTCTCACTTTTAACCAAAAAAAGTACCTAAAATTTCAGCAATTTCTATTTTTTCAGTTTTATAATTTTTTTTGTTAATTAAAATAAATGAGGCTGAAATTTTAGGAAATCAAGTGAATTGATTTTGAAAAGGGAAAAGTGCGGGGGGTTTATATAAAAGTACAAAAAACTAAACTAATAAAAATAATTTTTTTTTTAAATTATTAAAAATAAACCATTTTAACGTACTATTTTTGCTGTACTGCCTTGCCATATCGTGAACGCTTCTTGATCCCTGAAATTTATTATTATACGGCGTTCTATAGTAATAATTTTCATTTTCACCCTCAGACATCATATATTTCTGATTATTATTGCTTGGATGATAATGATAACCAGGATGTACGTGATGTCGTTTACGTGACATTTCAGGCGATGTCACTGGACTATCAACACTTGACATTGGTTTTAACATTCTTTTTAATGTATTTGAATCAAGACTCATTCCATTTTGTGCAGCATTTTCAATTCTCATGTCATCAGTACTTTTACTCTTTGATTTTCTTGTATGATTATTATTGACAATATTAAATATATTACCATTTTGCATTTCAAGTTCAGTATAATCTGCCGATTTTGTATGATGTAATTGTTCACGACGAAATGTTTTATTTTGTAATGTACCACCAGCTTGTACGCCCTCTGATTTTAATGTTTCCATTCCATTTTGATGTGTTGATGTATCTTGATTTTGTTTTGTACCTTTTTTTGGTGATATCGACGATCCTTTATCCTCAGGACTGTCGATCTGTAAGAAAAATTTTTTTCTTTTTTTCTTTAAAAAGGAAAATTTCTGCCATACACAAAAAAAAATTGAGAGAAAAAATAAAATTGTATAGGAAATTTTTTTTTTTTTTTTTGAGAAAGAAAATTTTTTTTTCACCTGCGAGCCAACTGTCGCGGTTCCAATGCCAACGGTCGCGGTTTTTGGTGCCGTTTGACATGTTTCGTTTTGCTGTTGTTTGTCTTGTTTTTTAATGGAATCGCCGCTTTTCATTGTTTTCCCTAGAGGTTGATTTGCGTTATTGACATTGTCGTAGAGAGACGCGCTGGACGTAGCCGCCGTTATTTTATCACGTCCTGGTGTCATTTCCATTTCAGTCGAACGTGCCATTGTTCTTGGCAATGTTGATGCACCTACTTCGTTAAAAGTTTTAGAAAAATTTAGAAAAAGAATCTTGAACCAAAATTTGTGATTTGAAATTTTATTGATTATGCAATTCTGTTTTTTATATATTTGATGCTCGAAAAAAATAAAAATTAAAAAAAAATAAAAATTTAAAAAAAATAAAAATTAAAAAAAAATAAAAATTAAAAAAAAAATAAAAATTAAAAAAAAATAAATAAAAAAAAAGTTACTTTAATAAAGCAGAAAAGATACAAAGACATTAAAAAAAATAAAATCAAACAGATAACATAAAATAATATTTCTTATAATTTTTTTTATTTTTATTAAACTTTAAAATTAAAAAAAAAAAATTCAATATAATTTGAAAAAAGTGACTAAGTTTTTGTATTGAACTTTAGAACAACAAAAAAGCATTAAAAATTTTTTTAAATAAGTATTAATTTAGAAAAAAAAGTAAAGTAAGAGATGTAAGTTACGGTGGATCAGTGGCAGAATACCCGGCTGCCAATTGAACTACTCGGGTTCGATTCCCGACGGATGCAATTTTTAAAATATTAAAAATATACAAAAAAAATTTAAAAAAAAATATTGTAAATAAAAATAAAGTTAAAAATAATAAATAAATTAGACAAAAATAAAAAAACGGTAAAAAATTTAAAAAAATATGTAAAAAAGTGAAAAAAAGAATAAATTACAAGAAAAAAAATAAATGATAAATAAAAAAATGTTGTATTAACGAGAAAAAAATATTTAAAAAAGCGAGAAATAACATTACAAATAAGCTAAAATAATTTTAAAAAAATTAAAAATTAGAAAAAAATTTAAAAAAAATATTGTAAATAAAAAAAGTTAAAAATAACAAATAAATTAGAAAAAACTAAAAAGAAAACGGTAAAAAATTAAAAAAAATATGTAAAAAAGTAAAAAAAAGAATAAATTACAAGAAAAAAATAAAAGAAAAATAAAAAAAATATTGCATTAACGGGAGAAAAATATTTAAAAAAGCGAGAAATAACATTACAAATAAAGATAAAATAATTTTAAAAAAATTAAAAATTAGAAAAAATTAAAAAAAAAACATTGTAAATAAAAAAAAGTTAAAAATAACAAATAAATTAGAAAAAACTAAAAAGAAAAAGGAGAAAAATTTTTAAAAATATAGAAAAAAATGAAAAAATAAATAAAATATGAGGAAAAATAAAAGAAAAATTTAAAAAAAAGTTGTATTAATCAGAAAAAATATATAAAAAACGAGAAAAAATATTATAAATAATGATAAAAAAGTTAAACAAAAATAAAAAAATATATAAAATAATTAAAAATAAATAAATATATAAATATGTAATAATAATACAAAATTAAAAAAAAAACATTGCAAATAATAGTAGAAATTAAATATAATAAATAAATTAGAAGAAACTAAAAAGAAAAATAAGGAAAATTTTAAAAAAAAATGTAAAAAATAAAATACAAGAAAAAATTTTTTTTAAAAATTTAAAAAATAATGAAAACAAAATTTAATAAATTAATAAACTAATAAATAATAAAAAATAAAAAAAAATAAAAAATAAATTTAAATAAAAAATGGAATATAAAAATAAAAATAAATAAATAAAATTGAAAAAAATAAATACTTAGAATAAAATTAAAACAAAAAAAATATATTAATACGAAAAAAAAAGTAAATAGAAAAAACAAAAAGGAAAATTAAATGAAAGTATAGATAAATAAAAAAATATAAATAAATAAATACTAAATAAAAAAAATAGAAAAATATAAATAAATAAATACTAAATAAAAAAAATAGAAAAAAATAAATAAGAAACACAAAAAGGGAAATTAAATAAAAGTAGATAAAGAAAAAAATAATAAAATGTAAATAAATAAATAAAAATAATAAAATTAGAAATAAATTAAGCAACAAATAAAGAAATCAAGTAAAAAATTAAAATCTAAATAAATTAATAACTAAAAAAATTTTTTTTTAATAGTTAATAAAATAAATAAAAAAATAATTTTAATACTAAAAATTAAATTATTTATAAATTTTTAAATTCGATTGTAAAATAAATAAATTATCAACGTATACAAAAAATAGAATCGCTTCAAAACAATTTCAAATGATTTGGCTCAAGAAACATATATTTTTTTTTTGTCTAATTTGTCTTCGATGAATTTGAAGAAGAATTTTTCTACAAATTTTGGAACGAATTTAATAACTAATTTATCTAGTTTTTTTTTTGTTTCTAAGATTTGTTCTTTTTTTTTCTAAAGTTGTAGGGTTTTTGTATCTATTTGTTTTTCTTTTTTTTTTTGAAAGGAAGAAAGCAGGACAGTAATATAATAGAAAGCGGTACATATGTTCGTGGTTTTTTTTTTTTTTTTTTTTTTTTCTCTATCTGGATGAAATATTTTATCTTACCACAAGGGGTTCGATATCGTGGATCCTGACTTCGAAGTCTTGCGAGTTGCTCGGGTGTCATACAAGTGCAAATTGGCTCTTTCGATCTATTTGGCGAGGCAGGAGTCGAAAGAGGCTTTCTTCGTGTTTTGTTTTTTTGTTTATTTGGTGGCTCCAACTTGAGGGAGTAGGAAGACGAGGCCTTACGTGCAATCTTAAAGGAAGGTGACTGTAAAAAAGAAATTCACGACCAATTAAAAAATTATTTAAAATCGTATGTCCACAATAAAAAAAAAATGTTTAAAAAATAAAAAAATATTTTTTTTTTATTTTTTTTTTAAATTACTTTTAATAATTTAAAAGTGATAACGTTAGGAAAGAAAGAAAAAAAAATATAAGAAAATTTAATTAAAAAAAAAAAATTTATCAAATTTTTTTTTAATTTTTTTAATTTTTTTTTTATAAAGTATTATGAAAAAATTACTTTATAATAATTTTAAAAAAATAACGATAGAAAAAAATATAAAAATTTAATTACAAAAAAAATTGGATCATTATAGGAAATAAAAAAAAAATAATTCTAATTCTTACGCAACATTCGCGAAATTGTTTCGCATCAATTGGAGAAGTAAAATTCAATCCCCACGTGTCATTAGTCATTGTGTCTTTCCAATAAACAAAGCATTCCGATGCTAGGCCGATTCTTGTTCCTAAAAAAAAATAATATTATTTACCCAAAAAAATTATATTAAATATTAAAAATACTATATTAATTATAAAATTTGTAAAAAAAATAAAAATAAATTGTGACGCACACTGAAGAAAGAGAGCTAAACAAAAAATTTCTAGGTTATGTTTATGATCGTTTAATGGTGAGCAATTTTTTTTTTAAAAGTCTTGTGACGCTTCTACTATTTTTTTATTAGTTCGTGGTGTATGGCGTGAAATAGAAAAAGACACAAATCTATCGCTTTCCTTTTCTATCTCACGCATTGCGTTCATTGTGGGTTGGCCTTAAGCATTACGCGCCACGAACTATGAAAATTATTATAGAAGTGTCATGACTTTTCAAAATGCCATCAAACCGAAAAAATACATATATTTTATTATATTTTTTTTTCAATGCTTAAAAATTAATAAAATATGCAAATTTTTTTTTGTATTTTAAATAAATAAAAATAAATATAAATAAATGAAAATAAATAAAAATACATAAAAAAAACGAGAATAAATAAATATAAATAAATAAAAATAAATATAACTAAATGAAAATAAATAAAAATATATAAAAAAATGACAATAAATAAAATAAATAAATATAAATAAATAAAAATAAATTTAAAAAAATAAAAATAAACAAAAAAAGATAAAAATAAATAAAAATAAACGAAAAAAAATAAAAATTACTGTTAAGATATTTTTCTCAGCTGCTAAATAAAATTAAAAAAAAAAAATTTAATGGCAGATAATATTAATTATTATTTTTTCGTTTCTAAATTTTTTTTTTATTTATAATTTAAAATAACAATTAATTACCTGGTTGAACGAGTCGAACGTCGAGAATTTTGTCCACTTGACTATTGTAAGCTGTAATATGAAAAATGCATTCTGGCGAATCCTGAATGCAAACAATATTCACCGGAACCAAATCCTCGGATATTTGCTGCCATTTTACTGAACCACTACTCGCGCTCACATGAAATACTTCGGCCCAAAGTCTGCGAAAAAAAATTCTCCTTTTAGTTCATTATTTCTTTTTTTTCTATTTTTTACTTTTTTTCCATGTGAATTTTCAAAAAAAAAAAGAAAAAAGGAAAATAAATTGATAATTTCAGAAAAAGGTTCTAAATAAACATTTTCTACTTTTCTACATAACTAATTGCAATCAATTTCTAAATTTAAATTATTTTTTTAATTAATTAAATATTTAAATAATAATAATAATAATTTTACTATTTATATAATTATTAACAATATTTTAATAAGTTTATATTTAATAAATTCTAAGGATTATTATTATTATTCTTTTTCTCTAATAACAATTAATTTATTTAATAGAACAAATTATTATAAAAATAAAAAAAAAAAAATTTTTTATTAATTAATTTCTAATTGTAGAAAAATTATACACGTAAGAATAATAGAAACAGAGAAAAGGAAATGAAACAATAAGCTTGTTATAATTCTAGAATATTTTCTAAGCATGCTAAGCGTGACGATTTAGTGAAGTTATGAGGAGAATTAAAATATTTTTAATCATTAAATTAAAAAAAAAAGAATTATTATCTTTATATCCAATAAGTGAAAGAAAACATTTGTTTGATATATAAACAAAAAAAGACCTTGGTCAATCGACAGGGTTGGGTAGTCAAGATTATCGTAAGCAGAATCACGTTAAAAAGCTATTGTGCATTGGCCTTTAAATGATATTCCTTGAGATAATTTTACCTACCCAACCCTGTCGATTGACCTACCGGTTGGTTTCCATTGTCCCCCCACTCGCTATTTGTCATAATTTTCGTTAACTACCGCACCCTGCTCTAGTAAAAATTTAATTTTAACAATAAAGTCACTAAATTTTTACTAGATCAGGGTGCGGTAATTGAACAAGAATTATGAACAAATGACGACTGGGGGACAATGGAAACCGAAAAAAAATGTTAAAGGTCAACGCACAATTATTGTTTCGCATAAACGAGATGTATGCGATAGAAAAGGATAGAAATATATCTCTGTTCTTTTCTAACTTATGCTTCACTTTAGCAGAACGACTTTCGCGAATCTCTCTATATATATATATTGTGTTCGTTGGCCTTAATATAGAGAATGGCAAATTCTCAAACATAACCTCAAAATTGAAAACTAGTTTTTAACGCAAATACAAAAATTTAATAATTTCAAAAACCATTTTAGCAAATCTGCTTATTCACTTTTTGTGGCAAAAAAAAATGAAAATCTTTTATTAAAAAAATTAATTATTTAACAAATGATTTTCATTTTTTTTTTCCCCCACAAAAAGTGGGTGGTGACTGAAATTACTATTTATTAAAGTTTTGGATACAATTTTTCAGTTTTGAGATTATGTTACATCCATCCATCAAGTGGTTAAAAAAGTCTACACTGAGAAACTTTTGGGGCAGCTGCTCTCCCAATCGAAAAATTTCTATATTCAGTTAACTTTATACTCAATATTTATCATGAGTTTTTATATGAGTGAAGTTAACTGAATATAGAAATTTTTCGATTGGGAGAGCAGCTGCCCCAAAAGTTTTTCAGTGTACTATAAAAAAAACTTAAATTAGGACAAAATTTTAGAAAAGGGAATTTTTTTTTTTTTAAAATAAAAAAAGAAAGAGAAAAATGAATAAATGAATGAAAGTTGGTGAAAGGGAGAGAGAGTGCTTGTTACGCCAGTGAAAGAGGACTAATTAGGGTGCGAAATAGTGAAAGAGAGAAAGAATGGAGAGAGAGAGGGTTAAAGGGTAAAAAAAAGGGGAGGGGGTGTGAGAGAAATCGGAAGTGTGAATAAGAAGAAGAAGAAAGAACAAAGAAGAGTTAGGAAAATTTGAGAGAATTTTTTTTTTTTTTTTTTTTTTGGAAATAATACATGGATTTTGGTATTTAAAATGATATGTGGTATGGTTTTATGGTATATGCGCACCTCTTCCTCTCTCTTAAGCTTCCGCACCTGAGCAAATGGCCAGTGTCACCTCTTCGTGCTGCATTTCCGGTCATTCCAGGTCTCGTTCCCGTTTGCCATGGGGAATCCTCATAACGATATGCTTTTCTAATCAAGGGAGCACAGCTGCAGGACAACTTATTACCCATTTTTTTTTTTTTTTTTTTTATTTTTATTTACACTTTTTACTCTTTGACCTCGATTTTCTTTTCAGCGATAATTTTTGCTTTTTTTAATTTCTTTTCTCTCTTTTTTCTTTTACTTTTTCACTCTAATTACCTTTTTGTTGTTTTTAATTTGTTTCTTTTTTAATATTTAATTTTTTTATTTTCTTCTTTCAAATGATTCTTTAAATTTTTTTTTCAAATTTCTTCTTTAATCTTTTTTCTTCTAAATCTTCTTCTTTACGTTATTATCTTTTCTTCTTAATTACTGTTTTTATTCTCTTCCCTATTTTTTATTCTTGTTTAATTAATTTTTTATTTCTTCTTTTCTTTTTTCTTCTTTAATTAATTTTTTTATTTCTTCTTTTCTTTTTCCTTCAATTTCTTTTTTATTTTCTTTATTTTTTAAATTTCTTTTCTTTAATTTCTTTGTTCTTTATTCTCTTTGTTTTTCTTCTTTAATTTTTTCGTTTCTTTATTTTCTTCTTTCTTTATTATCTTCTATTTCGTTAATTAATTTTTTATTTCTGATTTCTCACTTTCGCTTCGTTATTTTATTTTCTTTCATTAATTTTGTTTTTATTTATGTTTTTTTCTTTACTTTGTTTATTGCTATTTTGCTTATCTTTGCTTAACTTTTTTTTTCTTTAATTTTCTACGTTTTGTATTTCACTTTCTTTTTATTTCAATTTCTTCTTTTTTCTTCTTTTTCTTCTACCTTTTCTTTTCTTTCTCTTTTTCTTTGGATTTATTTTCTTTTAACGTTTCATTCCTTTTTTTTCAACGTTTTTAATTAACTTTTTTTTTTTTATTTTTCCTTATCACTTATTAAATTCCTTAAATTTTCTTCTCTAGTCTTTTGGATTGACTTGTTTGACACAAAAAAATTTGGCTCTTTGACTTTTGGCACACAAATTCCAGGTCAGTCGATGTTCAATTTTTAGACTTTTAGTTTGTTGGTTTTTTTTTTTTTATTTTATTTTAGTTTTTGTATGTTTTTAAAAACTTAGGTTGTCTGTTTTAAATTATTTTTCTTTTTTTGGATTTTTTTTGTTTTTTTTTTTTTTTTAAATTTGGGAAGCACTGGATTAAACGAGGATCCGAAACGATCCCGCGGATAACATAAAAAGCTGATGACACCTTTTATTGTCACATCATTGTTGTTGTTCCACCTTTATCAGCTTTCCGGAGAGAGTTATCACTGAAAATTAAAAAATACATTATTTTTTTTATTAACTTTTTTTTGTTTACTTTAAAAATTTTTTTTTTTAAATTTACATTTATTTACTTTTCTTGACTTTTATTTTTTATTTTATTGATTTTTATTTTTTTTTTATTATTTTTTATTTATATTTTTTAATAATTTAAAAAAAAATATTTCTACTTTTAAAAAAATTTATTTAAGAAAAAAAAACTATTTCTTTTCTTTTAAATAGCAAAAAATTTATAGGTTATGTTTATGATAGTTTTGTGGTAATTTTGAAAAGCCGTGTCTACACTTCTATAATAATTTTACTAGTTCATGGTGTATGACGTATGGCATGAAATAGAAAAAGAACCCAATATCTCTCCTTTTCTATCTCACGCATCGCGTTCATTGTGCGTCGACCTTAACCAATACGCCACGAATTAATAAAATTATTATAGAACTGTAACGACTCGATATTAACAAAGAAAATTTTTTTTTCTTCTTTTAAATGGAATTTTTTTCTATTTAAAAATACTTTTTAGCAAAAAAAATAATTATCAAAAAAAAATTTTTTTTTTTTAAATAAATTATAAAGAATTCAATGTGATATATGTTAAATTTATAATTTAACAGGACACATTTTGATAATGAGAATTTAATTATTCAGTGTCTCGGGACAATTTTATGATGTGATGGTGGGGGAAAGGGGGGGGGGTTGGAGGTGGGAAAGATTAATAATGTCGCATGAAGGGTAAAAGTATATGCACTCGACTCTTCGAATAATAATTCATTTTGCGCCATCGAGAAACTTTAACCGCAGAGGATTTCAAAATTTATATTCCATTCGAGGAAACTTTTCATCATCATCTCTCTCTCTCAAATTTGTCGTTTTCATTTTTTCAAATTTTTTTTAAAATTTAAAAAATTTTTTTTTTAATTAAAAATTTTTTTTAAATTAAAAATTTTTTTTGAATCTTAATTCTTGAATAAAAAACCAATTTGTTAATCGTAGGAAAGCAATTTCTGGCGCACCTTGAAACCTATCATTTTTCACCTAATTAGCTTTTTAAAGAGATAAAAGAGGTTTTAATCGACATGAAGAAAATGAGATTTTTGACCAACTCTCTCTCTCTCTCTTTCTCTTTATTTGGAATTCAAAAACTATTTCAATATGAGAGAAAATATTTTAATCTTATACGCGAGAGAGCAAAAAGCCAGGCTATGTCATGTCAAAATGACAGAGATTGTTGTTCAGAGGATAAAAATCCACAGCGAATGGAATGTCACTAGGATAGAAGAAAGATAAGATCCAGTTGCAAAATCAGGTCATGAAAACCTTTTTTTTTAAATTCTTTCTCTCTCTCTCTTTCTCTTTTCATATTCTATTGGCGTAGGAGAAAAAAGAAAAACGCACTTGTATAAAAAAAAAAAATTCTCATCAAGTCTTTAGTTTTTTCCTTAAAAATCTTTGCTAATTATCTCGATAAAAAAACAGGATTTCTAAATGCACAGTTTTTTTTTCGTTTTTACAAAGACCGAGAAGTGAATTAACATTAATTACATGCGAAATTATAAAAAAATAAATGTATTTTGTAAACTGAAAGAAATTACATTAAAAATGAAATGAAAAAAGAGAGGCAAATAATAAATGAGTGAAGAAAATAAATAATAAAATAAAGAAAAAAAATCTAATTTGTAAAATTAAAATATTAATGAAAAAATAATTTTGAAAAATTAAATAAAGAAAAATTTATTTATAAATTTTTTTAAAAATATAAATGGAATTGTAAATAACTGAAACATTCTATTTTTAAACTATATTCCATTACTAAAAGCGACTATTGTATTCATGGAATTTTTCAAAATGGTTGAAAAAAACGAAATAAAATTTTAAAATATAAAGAATTTTATATAAACTTTATATACGTTAGAGTGGATAATAAATTGAATTTTTTAAAATTCGAATTGAAAAAAGGGTTTCTAATTATATTTTTCAATACCACAGACATAACCTCAAACTTTTATAAAAAAATAAATATATTCTCATATATTTCGAAACATAACCTAAAATGATTCAGTTTTCTTTACTTCGCGAAAAAAATTAATTTGCATCTATATTTTACTAATCTCTCTTCGCATTAATTTTTTAATTTTCAATTAATTACAACACTTTTTGAATCATTAAATAAAAAACATTTCTTCGAATGTCGTTTGTAAAAAGATGAGTGAGAAAAGGACAGAAATATATTTGTGTTCTTTTTTATCTCGAAACTATTGTGCATTGGCCCTAAATACTCCTGGCTTAAGATAATCATGACTACCCAACCTTGTCTCCTGTCAAAAAAATGTTTTTTTCTTTATAAAAAAAAATATTCATGTTGGTTTAGTTCAAGGCAGGTTTTTTTTTATTTTATAATTTAAAAAATGTTGTAATTAATTGGAAAATGAAGTCAAAAATTAATGAAAACACTTATTTGGCATAGATAAAAAATTTTGATTTTATTATGAAACATTATTTTCTATCAACTTTTTTATTGTCGTGTCGCATGAAAATTACATAACCTAAAAAAATTGTAATTTTTTTTAAAAAGAAATTAAAAAAAAAGTTTTGAGAATAGTTTCCAAATAATAAGCAATATTTATTATTATTATATAATTTTTCTATCTTAATACATATAAATTAATTAATAAAAAATAACTAAATATTAATTATATTATAATAAGCGTTATTATTTTTATCTAAAAAATTTTTTTTTGTTTCAGATAACGACCTATGGACACGAAAGAGGATATAAGAAAAAGTGAAGAGGTTTTTAAAACCAAAGGTTTGTTTTATATTAATGATGAATAATAAATAACATTAACGAAAAATTAGGTCCACTTTGGATGACTGTTGATCCTATCAAAAAAGTGCACCATACAATTTTTCTAGGGGAATTCTCTGGGGTTAACGTTAAATTAAAAATTATGTAGCATTAAAATTCGGTTAGGAAAAAGTCGATTTAACAGAAATTTGGTATAATAGAATTTTATTTTAATGGAAATTCGGTATATTATGATTTCGATTTAATGAAAATTCGGTTTAATAGAAATTCGGAAATATTAGGTTTTCCCTTTTAATGGAAATTCGGTAAAAAAAATTCGGTTTAATAAAAATTCGGTATAAAAAGAATTCGATTTAATAAAAATTCGGTTTAATAAAAATTTCGGTATAATAGAATTTTAATTTAATTGACATTCGGTATAATAGGATTTCGATTTAATGAAAATTCGGTATATTACGAATTCGCTTTTAATGGAAATTCAGTATAAAAAAATTTGGTTTAATAGAAATTCGGTATAAAAAGAATTCGATTTAATAGAAATTCGGTATAATATGAATTCGATTTAATAAAAATTCGGTATAAAAAGAATTCGATTTAATAGAAATTCTCTTGGGCTAAGGGTAAATTAAAAATTAAAAATTGAAATTCGTTTAGAAAAGAAATCGATTCAATAAAAATTCGGTATAATAGGAAATTATATATTAAATTAAAAATTCGGTTACTAAAGATTTCGATTTAATAAAAAATTCTATACAATAGGACATTATAAATTAAATTGAAATTCGGTTAGAAAATGTTTCATATTAATAAAAATTCGGTATAATAGTAATTCGATTTTAATGGAATTTCGGTATAATAATATAAATTACTAAATATTAAATAAAAATATGAATAATTAAAATTAAATATTATTTTATAATTAAATAATTAAGTCTCTAAATCTGAATTAGCGATAAGTATACCACTAATTCAGATTTAGAGAGAGATTATTATTTATAATATAGAATACAATAATAATAATAATAATAAAATGTTTTAATAAAGAATTTTTCTTAATAAAAAAAATGAAATAAACAAAAAAATAACAAAGTTAATTCAATAATTTTAGATTCACTTTCAATTGGTTCGGAATAAAAGGGAAAAGAAAGAGAGAATGAAAATTCTGAATGATGAGAGGTGTTATTGTTACGAGTTAGCTTTAAAAGCGAGTTGCGAATATAAGAGGGAAAAAAATGAGAAAGAATCAGTGGTGAAAGAGTTGAGAAACAGCGAAAGCGGAGAGATAGTGAAGATTTTGAAGAAATTGAATATGGATCGTTATAGAAAAGTAGAGAATGGAACACGACAGTTCTCCGATAAATTGTTTCCTAGCTTTGTATATATCGGCAGAGGGATTACTCTCGAGACGAAGTCCAAAGTCAATATTGATTCGAGCCAAACATGTTTCTTACACTATACTGGCACAACGATTTTTTTTTTTTTTTACTTTGCAATAATAGAAACGAGTTACGCGCGGTATATATATATTTTTTCTATTCTATTCTATCGCAGTTCAAGAGTATCGCTCCTTTGGGTATCAACGGCAGATCAAAGGCTTCCAATGATTTGAAATGTTTTTTCCACTCTAGTTATAATGAAAAAAAAAATCGGCCAACAACCCACATTACTTGATTTTTCTTGATAAACGTTAATTTTTATTTGCTATACCAATTTAAAAAGAGAAAATTAATCTAATTTCCATTAAAAATTCACATTCTGTTAAATTTGAAATTTTAATTTAAATTCAATTAAAATTTGGTTAAATACAAATTGGATTAAATATAGTTCCAAAAAAAAATTTGGGTCAAAAATAAATTCGGAAAAATTGTTCTAATCTTGCCAAATTTAAATTTTACGTCCCCAAAGCAAAAAGTAATAACCACTAAATTAACAAATAGGGAAAAATCTAATCGAAAAAAATCAAGTCAAATCTCCATACCTATATACTATAGGTTACATAAACCAATTACCATCTGTTAAAGCTTCGAGAAATTCAATGAAGCTTCCACCCCCGAAACACTATACAGAATCCATCCTGGATGAAGGAAATGTCCGAGGGCTTGGCTCTCACAAAATCTCTCTCTCTCACTCTTTTTTTTTTAAAAAGAAAATTTCTCCAATTTTTTCTCGAGTAGAAAATTTTTTTTTCAAAATCGAGAAAAGGAAAAATTCTGAGATGAACAAAAAAAACGATCCCTGGCCTCACCCTGAAAAATCGGAACTTACTTCTCTCTCAGGGTCCTAGGAAAATTTTTACAAAGCGACGGAAATTAACAGGACGAGGGAAGGGTTGAGGGACAATCATCTTCAAGAAGGGTGTGATTTAAAAAAGGAAAATAAAAATATTCACGATGCACAATAAATATACACATACACAAAAAGAGGGTGGTGGACTTTTGTAGACACAGAGAGACGAGGGCGAGGCGAGACTTGGAATTCTCGCGGGGGCGGCGGGGGTTGAAACAGGCGGAAACAGGGGCGGAATAGAAAAGGGTGCGGATCAAGGATCCACCCTCTCTCGTTTTCTCTCTCTATTTTTTTCCCTCTACAAAAAGAAAAAAAATAGAAAGAGAAAGAGATAAAAAATTTTCCATTTGCAAAAATTAGAAATAGAAAAAAAAAACCTCCTTTTTACAAAGCTGAGAAGACAGATTCTCCCATTGCATTTTGTCAGAAAAAAAATTACTCACCCCCCCCCCCCTGTAAATCAGGAGAAAATTTTTCCTTCTAAAAGAGGAAATAACTCCAAAAAACGAGAATAGAGAAATATTTTCAGAAAAATTACAAATATATTTTCTTTTAAAACAACACCCACCGTTTTTTTTTTCTTGAAACACAAATACACACACGCACGTACACAATTTTTTTGCTATAAATTCCCCTCAAAAGAAAGAAGGAAACAAAACAAAAAAGAAAATTAACACCCGATTTCTTATCGTTTCTGTTCCTCGCGAATTGGAGAGTAAAAGGGGGTTCGTTGGATTTAGAAAAAAAAAAAAATTTCCGCAAATTAGTCCCGGGGTTTTTTTTTATCGTTTCTTCTTTTATTTTTTTTGGTTCTTTCACGATCCTTGGATCATCAGGGATTCCCCGGGTACGTCGCGCGGATTCATCTCGGATGATGTAGTCATGGATACTGCGGATCGGAGGCGACCCGACCCCCGAATGCGCCCCGAAAATGTCAATATCCTCTCACTCACTCTCTCTCACTCAATCTCCATCTTTGTCAGGTGCGCCCGCGATGCGCTCAACCAACCCCCAGGGTTGTAGAACGCGACAATCTTACCCAGCTTCCCGCGCGCGCACACACATACAATTGTTTTGGGGTAGAGATGATAAAAAAAATATGCATTTTTGACTCCCACCCCCCCCCCTCCCCCCTTCTATTTAAAATTACTCATTGTCACTTGAAATTTTTAATTCCTTCTATCTATTGAGAACAATGAAATTTACAATTGAATATTAATTTTTCTGAAAATTGATACATTTTTTATATTTATAACCTAAAAATTTTGCTTAACATAATTCTATATATTTTTTTAAAAATATTTTTATATTTCTAACTTTAAAATTTTAGAAAACCAAATTCTCCGTAAATATTTACTAAATTATAGTAAACGATATTATTTTTAACTTAAAAATTTTTTTTTTTGTTTCAGATGACGACCTATGGACACAAAAGAGGATATAAGAAGAAGTGAAGAGGTTTTTAAAACCAAAGGTTTGTTTTATATTAATGATGAATAATAAATAACATTAACGAAAAATTAGGTCCACTTTGGATGACTGTTGATCCTATCAAAAAAGTGCACCATACAATTTTTCTAGGGGGATTCTCTGGGGTTAAGGGTAAATTAAAAATTATGTTGGATTAAAATTCAGTTAAGATAAAAGTCGATTTAATAAAAATTTGGTATAATCGAATTTCGATTTAATGAAAATTCGGTTAAAAAAAAATTCGGTTTAGTAGGAATTGGATTTAATAAAAATTCGGTATAATAGAAATTCGGTAGAATGAAAATCCGATTTGATAAAAATTAGCTTTCATAAAAATTTGGTAAATTGCAAAAATTTCATAAACAAATTTTCATTAATTTTAAAAACTAATTATATAAAAATAACGGTAAATGTAAAATTATATTAAATAATAATAATAATTCAGTATTTTAAATTTTCGGTTAAATTAAAAATATTAAAATTCAATTAAATAAAAATTCTTTTAAACGGAAATTTAATTTCAAATTTTTAATTTTAAATTCAAATTAATTCACTTTAATATAAATTTGGTATTGGCAAATTTGGCTAAATGAAAATTCGATAATAAATTTATTTTCCAATTAAAATTATCTACCGTATAAAAAAAAATATACTATACTTTAGTTGTGGAAATTTTTTCCCTAAATAAAAAATTAGTAATTTTATTTAAATTTTTAAATCCTATTTTTCCCCTTTAAAGTTTCTTTCAATGCTTCTCTTTAAATTCAATTTTTTTTCAATGCCTCTATAAACGAATCAATCCAAATTGGCTTAATGCCTTCATTAAATAAATTAAACTCGTTTCTTCAATTTCTCCCCCTCCCAAAAAAAAAAAATTCAAATTATTATTAGTATTAGAAAAATAAAAAAGTCACCTTTTGGAAAAAAATTAAAATTCTCCCAGCATCTCGTATTCCTCTTCTCCTTGATGACAGTCATAGACAATCTTTGAAGATGATTTTCGTACGTTCCTGAAGAGATAAAGAAAAAAGAGAGAAAAAGAGGGTTGTATGCAATGTCAAAGCATCGGCGCAAGTCATCCCCCAATGAAGAGAGATGGCGCGGTGAAATCCTCTCTGGAATTTTCAGAGAGAGAGATGAAACCGCGGTCCACATCGAGAATCGCGCTGTGACTGTTCCTATATTATGACAAACGTAGAGAGTAAAAGATGAAAAAAAAAAAAATTGGTCAAATATAAAAATTTAGAATTAAAGTAATATTTTCGAATGTAGAAAAAAAGATAAAAAGCCGGGTAAATTTTGAGATAAAAATTTTTTTTTTTTTTTTTTAGTGATCGAGAAATAAAATTTATATACTCTTTTGCCACTCTTTTGGTCCACAAGGTGCGTCACCATGACGATCGGCGATCGATAGGGAACCTGCGCTCTATGACTTCGTTTCTCTCCTCTTCATCGTGTCTAGGGTTCCCTATACATATATATGTGTATATAAACAAGTCGCAGCGACGTAACCGAAACAGGCTAACGGGCTCCTTGAATCTCGTGGTGGCTCTTATCATATATACGAGGGCGGATCCCCCATTCTAAAGAATATACTTTTTTCGTTAGTAGAAAAAAAAACAAAAAAAAAAATTAATATTTTTAAAAAAGATAAATTAACACATTTTTCAAAAAAAAAATTACAAAAATTAATTTAAAATAAATAATTATTAAATAATTAATAATAATAATTTTAATAAAAGGAAGCATTGAAAGAACAAATTAAATTGAATTCATTGGAAAAATTGTAATTCATTTTTAAAATTACCTGAAATTAATATATATTCAGAAAATAAATATCAATAGATCCTTTTTTTAAATTTAAATTTTATAATTTATTCTTCGGAGAATAAGTTTTGCCAAAATTCTACAAAACTTACGATATACAAAACTAATAATTAAGTATACAAGATCGAAATAATGGTATAAAATCGTTGAAATCGATACAAATAAATAAATAGTCGCACAATAAAATTTTTTCCATTTTCGTTCAATCGCTTTTAAATTAATAAATGCAAAAAAAAAAAATTCGCATAAATTCTAAATTCAATAATTGACATTATAAGTTATAATATTAATAATATTATTAATTAATAATAATATAATATAATAATAATAATAATAATAATAATAATAATAATAATACTTTTTTTTATAATTAATTAAAACTTCCAAAAAAATTAAAGAACAGAAAAAAGTGGTATAATTTATATTTAAATAATTAGAAATATAATACTGACAATGTAAGTTACAATAATAATAATAATAATAATAATAATAATTTATTTATTTCAAATAATAATAATAAAAAAAATTATAATACCATTTTTTTCATAATTTAATTTTAAAAGAAATTGAAAATATTTAATTTAATAATTACTTAATTTAAATTGATTATTAATAGTAATGTTAATTAATTAATATTAATTTAATTTTAAAAGAAATTCAAGAAAATTTAATTGAATAATTCCTTAATTTAATTTAATTATTAATAGTAATTATTAAACTATTAATATTAATTATTATTCAATAATTAAGTAATTAGAATTGAGATCCCCCATTAGAATTAAAATACTGATAAATATAGCTAAAGAAAATTGATATATTATAACTTATAATTCAATATAATTTCGCAAATACTGACGCAAAAAAAAAAATGAAATTTCTAATTTAAAAAAAAATCAATATTATAACAATTATAACTTATAATTAATTATCATTTTAATAATACTGATACTATACATAAAATACTGATAGTAATTTTTGTTTTCCAAAAAAAAATTAAAATTATATAAGTTATAATTGTTTATAATAATTACAAAAGAAAAAAAAATTTCTCGACATATTAACAGAAAAAACCAAAAATTATTTTTTTTTTTCTCAATATTTTCCTAATCTGTTTACAATTGAAATTGTCGCGTGATAAACATTTTTAAATAATCGCGGTTCTGTTTGCTCTAATCCCCAATCTGGTTTTGAATTTGGTAAAAATTTCTTTTCCTTTAAATAAAAGAAATTCTTTTTCCTTCTTACTTTCTCCTCTAATGTTTTTAATAGCCATACTGCACGTGAATTTTTTCTAACCGCCTGAGTGCAAAAAAAAAGAAAAGAAAATTATTCTCCCATTAATAAGAAAAATTTTAACAAATTATAATTAAAATTAAAATTTCATTCTGTTAACATTTTTTTTTTTTTTTGAGTAAATTTTTCTAAGAAAAAATAATTTACCTTTGCATAATTGCAGTCCTCAATTAGAATCCACATTAAAGTTGCGAGATGTAAAAATAAATTAACATTTTTTTCCACCGTTACTGACAAAGATCGTGCTAAAATTTCTATATAGTTTTCCTGAAAAAAAAAAAAATTTTATGAAATTTTGTGAAAATTTATAAAAAGTAATTTTTTTGTTTTTACCTTTAAAACGAATGATTTTGTTGGCGAATATTTGGCGAGATTAATTAAAATACTCGTTGCACGTAATGATGCCTCAATCCATGGTAATGATCTATTTGATCGTAGTAATGTTTCATAAATTTTATCAACTAAACCAACATTACAAACAATAATGCAACTTTTATTCGATAAACGTGTTATTAAATCTGCAAATAAATTTTTTTTAAATTATTAGTTTCTTTAAAAAAATTTTTTTTTTTGGCATCCAATTATTAACCCTTAGTTTCAAAATTTTCCATCACATTAAATTAAAAAGAAAAGTAATTTCTAATTAAATAAATATTTACCCAATGAAGCAAGACACATGGACAATCGACCAAGATCATTCGTCATTTTAAAAATATCAATAGATTCTCGTAAACGTAGTGCAAGTGTTTTTGTCGAAAATTCCAATGAATTTGTCCCCTTAAATTTTCTTTCATTTTCCAAACGTGCCTTTTCCTGTTGTTTCTTTAATAAATAATTCCTCCAATAATATTGAATTTTTCTCGCTGATAAATGCATATTTTTCAATTTTTCACGATCAAATTTAATAGCTCGCCATTTTTTTTGTATTAAAATAGTAAAAAATTTGATTTTCAAAAAATTTTCACGTTCCACCTTCATCTTACAATAGGATCGCCAATATTTTTGTATAAAAATTGTATTTGTACGTTTTTTCAAAAATTCCCCACGATCCATTAACAATTGTTTTCTTCGTAACCAATAATCAGTAATTATTTTTGTAGCATTTTTTAATTTTAAAAATCGATCTCTCTCTTTTTTCATTAATTTCCAAGCTCGCCATTTTTGTTGTATAATTATTGCTGCTTTTTCTTTAATCATCAAATATTGTCGCCAATATTTTTGTATTAAAATAATTGCCAATTGTTGTTTTACAAAATTTTTACGATCTAAAATTATTGCTCGCCATTTTTTTTGTATAATAATTGTTGCAAATTTTATTTGAAGAAATTTTTGACGTGTTTCTATCATTTTTCGATAATTACGCCAATAAATTTGTATTTTAATTGCACTCTTTTGTTTTATGAGAAATTCTTTTCGTTCAACTAAATTTTTATTCAACTTTTCACGCCATTTTTTTTGTATTATTTTTGCAGCATTTTCACGTTTTATTCTTTCCTTGTCATTTATTTCACATCTCGCTTGAAGCAAAGAAAATGCTTCCTTAACACGCATAAATTGTTCACGTTGACGTAGCATTAATTTTCTAGCTTTTGAAAATTTTTGTAAAAATATTATCGCCTCTGTTCTGTCCCTTAATTTTAATTCTCTTTTAGATCGCCACCATTTTTGTATTACTAATGCAGCATTGTGAATTTTTTTCTCCTTTAAAAATTTTTTATAACGAATATAAAAAATTTTACTCCTCCACCAATTTTGCAATAGTATTGCAGCTTTCAAAAAACGTGGTGCTTGAAATTTATAAACAATTTGCCAAAGTAGTGACAGTGTTTTATCTCGTAAACCATCGGCAATATTTTTTGCCTCAATATCATCGAAAATTACATAACCAGCCTCCTTCAATGCATCGAGGGCAATTTTCACATTATAAATTTTTTGCACTTTTGAATTTGCCGGTACGCTACATTTTTGTGTTAAATTCTTTTTACCAGTTACAATTTCCATAACACGACATAATCTCACACCATCTCTTAAATCATAATTCATATCATGTACCGCATAATCAAATTCCTCAATATAAGACTGTCGATGCTTGACAACATAACCAGAAATTCTCAATACTTTAATAATATCACCAATACCACCCAAAACAAGACTTGAAAATTTAATTAATATCATTCTCGATTCCTTATGCAATGAATTCTTTCTAAATAAACACGGATCATCGCCAATTAATTTATTCATTTTTGCATAATCCAAAAATCCAATTAATCTTAAAAATGTTTTTAAAATAAAATCATTCATTACACCGCGAAAACTTTCTAAAAGTAAACCACTTGAATGTGAATGTTCACGAATAATTGTTGAATTAGAAAAAAATCGTGAAAGTAAAAATCTTGTTATACCAATTAAATCATTATTTGATTTTAAATTTAATCTCTCATTATAAATAGTTTCAAGACCAATTCTCAACCATAGGGGATTATAATTTAAAAATAATTCAATTAATTCCTTTTGTAATCCAATATCTAAATGAAGATTTTTATCTTTTTTAATTTCAACTTTACCATTCTCGATACATTTCATTGCCGAGGCAATTGATATTGTTAGATCATAATTTAAATACATTTTACGCGCTGCTTTTCTAAGTGTATCGAGACGTGTATCCGTATGATAACGTGATGATATTGATTCACGACTTTCGGCAAGTATATCGTCATTCATTGTTCTTATTGATTGCCAAATTTTTCCAATATCAACCGTTGTTGTTTCATTAAAATCCGCCGGCGGTGTCATTAGGGCATTTAACCATTTTTTAAATTCCTGCTCTTGATTTAATGACCAATTATTATTATCATCCGTCGAATTTAGGGATTCATTTTTTTTGTTCAACGATGTAGATAAGAGAGAGGAATTTTTGGAATTTTTGATAAATTTTTTTTCTATCGTTTCCTTATCCAAAAGTTCGCGTATTTTCTCTTTTGAAATTACGCGCGTTTCATTAACCAAACATTCAGAAATTTCCTTATTTGAAATTACGCGCGTTTCGTTGAGCAAAGATTTAGAAGTTTCCTTAGCCGAAATTACGCATGTTTCCCCTTCTGAAATTACGCGCGTTTCGTTGGCGGAAAATTCAGAAATTTCCTTTACCGGAATTTCGCGTTTTTCCCTATCCGAAATTACGCACGTTTCGTTGACAAAAGATTTAGAAGTTTCCTTAGCCGAAATTACGCGTGTTTCCCCTTCCGAAATTACGTGCGATTCGTTAACGGAAAATTCAGAAGTTTCCTTTACCGAAATTTCGCGTTTTTCCCCTTCTGAAATTACGCGCGTTTCGTTGACTGAACATTCAGGAGTTTTCCTAGCTAAAATTTCCCGTTTTTCTCCTTCTGAAATTACGCGCGTTATGTTAATAGAAAATTCACGAGTTTCCATAGCCGAAATTACGCGCGTTTCATTACGCGCAAATTCAGGAGTTTCCCTAACCGAAATTTCGCGTTTTTCCCCTTCCAAAATTACGCGTATTTCATTAATTTCAAATTCAGGAGTTTCCCTAGCCGAAATTTCGTCTATTTCCCCTTCTGAAATTACGCGCGTTTCGTTGAGGGAAAATTCAGGAGTTTTCCTAGCCGAAATTTCGCGTTTTTCCCCTTCCGAAATTACGCGTATTTCGTTAATCTCAAATTCAGGAGTTTCCCTAGCCGAAATTTCGCGTTTTTCCCCTTCCGAAATTACGCGTATTTCGTTAATATCAAATTCAGGAGTTTTCCTAGCCGAAATTTCGCGTTTTTCCCCTTCCGAAATTACGCGTATTTCGTTAATATCAAATTCAGGAGTTTTCCTAGCCGAAATTTCGCGTTTTTCCCCTTCCGAAATTACGCGCGTTTCGTTGACGGAAAATTCAGGAGTTTTCCTAGCCGAAATTTCGCGTTTTTCCCCTTCCGAAATTACGCGTAATTCGTTAATCTCAAATTCAGGAGTTTCCCTAGCCAAAATTACGCGTTTTTCTTGTTCCAAAAGTTCGGGACGTTCACAAAATTCCGTTTCAGGATTAATGCGAAATTCCCCCGAGGAAACGAAGCCATTTTCGATTTCTATCGAAAGAGGACAAAAATCTTTGTTGGGAGTTTCGCAATTTTCCTCAATTGGAAGTTTGTAAATATCCTTTGCCGGCAATTCGCAAGTTTCCTTCTCAATTTTCTGATCGGGAATCTTGCGAATTACCGTTACCGATAAACTGTTACCGAAATTATCGCTACTATCGTTATTTTCTCTTTCATTATCAGTATCATTATCATTATCATTACTATCATCATTACTATCATTATCATTAATATCATTATCAATATCATCATTATCGTCATCATTATTATCATCCTCATCATCATCATCATCATAATCGCCGACATCACTAAAATCACTGCCATTGTCACTATCACAGTCAATTATTTTTTCTTTTTCTTCATTCATCTCTCCCTCCTCAACACGACGACAAAAATTCTTTGAACTTGATTTTGGAGTCGATGAAACAATTCCTGCCAACGAAGAAAACATATCGAATCCTTCGAAATTTGATTCTACTTTGCTTGGTGTAACTTGAACATTACAATTAATATCCACATCGCATTTTGAAGGAATAATAAATGTTTCCCGTCTCAAATCACGTATCACTGAATCGTCTTTGAATCGATCAAGAAATGATTCCCTCCTTTGTTCACGAATTCCACTTTCATTTTTCAAATTTTCATTTATTTCATTTTCCCTCACTTCTTTTGGTGAACATTCATTTTTTTCAATTGATTTTCTTGATTTCAACGATTCCCGACGGAAAACACGTTCGAAAAATGATTTTTTGCTAGTTTCGGAACGATTTTTAAATAGTGAACGACGACGATTTGTTGATAGATTGAATAGCTTTTTATTAAATGAAATGGAATCTTTACGTGGTCTTTTTAACTTTGTATTTTCCTTAATTGAAGTTTCCACTTCTTCTTTCTTCAGTGTTTCAAATTCCATTTTATCAGCGCTACGTGGTCTTTTTGAATTACGCTTTAATGTAGGGAATTTTTGACCAGGTAAATATTCCTTTTTAAATGTGAGTAATTTCTTTGGTTGTGGAATTTCAGAGCCATTGATGATTATTTTTTTTGGAATTCGTGTTTTAAGATATTTTTGTGGTGGATCTTTTGATCGCATTATAAGTGTTACTTCATATTTATTTCGATTATTGTCAGTCAATTGTAGAATATCCCACCAGGTAACACAAATTTTTGGTGACCAATAGATGTATAAAATTGCTGTTTCTTTTGGTGGAATAATTGCTTCAGTGAAACTGAAATCGACATATTTCTCGGGTATCGGTCGCTTTGTGATATAAACCTTAAAATGAAAAAAGAAATTTCTTATTCAAAATTTTATCAAGATTTTTATTTTTTTTATACTTTTTAATTTTTTTTTTCTACTTTTATTTCAAACTTATTCATATAATAAATTACAAATTATTCAAAATTATATTACACTTTAAACATAGAAAATTTAAAAAAATAACGAGTTAACTAAATAAATGAAAATTTAATTTAAAAAAAAAATAAATAAATAAAAACATTAAAATAAGTAAAATAAAAAAAATTAAATGATGAAAAATATTTTTCAAAAAGGGAATAAAACTAAAATAACAAAAAATGAAATAGAAAAAAATTTAAAAATATATAAAAAATTTAAAACAACGGAAAATAAATAATAAAAATCGAATAATTTTTATCGAAAAAAAATTAATTAATTAAATAATAAAAAAAAAATAATAAAATTAAACATTCAACATTCAAATTAATAATAATAAACGATAATGTATGTATGTATGTATGTAAGTGTGTATGTATGGATCCCTTTTTTGTTTAGAAGATAACTTTAACAGGTTTTAATGGATTTAGATAAAATTTGGTAGGCTCATTTATCATATTAATATCTCAAAACTGACCAAAGGATTTTAAAAAAGACCCAAAATAAAAAATTTTATCAACTTTTTTCCAAAAATTTTTTTTGAATCAAAAAAATTTTTAAATTGAAAAATTTAAGGTTATATATAATAAAATCGTATTCCTTACGTCAAGACAAATTGATCGGTATATATAAAGTATAGTTTTAATTTAAATTTAAAGAATTTAATGAAAGTTAAAAAATCAAAAATTCACATTTTTGCTATAAAATTTTGTGATTATTTAAATTTAAGTTTATAGATCAAATAATTGTATTCCTTACATGAAAACGAATCCATTGGTATATATAAAATTTACATTTGTGGTAAATTTAATAAATTAATGAAAGTTAAAAATAGAAAATACACATTTAAGATAAAAAATTGTTTATATATTTAAATTCAAGTTTAAATATAAAATAACTGTATTTTGTGCAAGAAATTGAAATAAATAGTTTACCTAAGAAAAGTTAAATTTTTTTGGGGACTTTTTTTGGATTTTGGATTTTTGGGTTGGATGACTTTTTGGTGGTAATAGGTGTCTTCCTCTACTCGGATTTGGCTG